GGAGAGAGGTAACTGGATGAAGGTAGCTCAACTTGCTTCTATACAACCTAACAAGAGGGTTCATTTACCAACAGCTCTCCTTAGAAGGCAGATCATTTGCAACACAGTCCTTAGATAAGTTTTTTTCAGGGATTTCTAGACAATAGACAATAGGCCACATCCATTTCACAGTCTCATAGACACAAAATTAAAGGATGGAAAATGGAATAAAGGGAAAGGAAGAAATATATAGATGGAAGGAAGGGAGGTAGGAACTTTAAGGACACAAAGATATAAAGTGAGTGAAAAGAGGCTTGTGAAGGATGAGATGCTATAAGAATGCTACATGGAGGGAACTCTAAATCTGCCTAAACTTTTATGTTCTAAAAACAAATATCATTCCACATTCCCCCTTTTCATCTCCCCTTTGTCTTCTTTTCACTTCTTAACATTTTCATTTACAGTAACAATATTCTTTACTCTTACCAAGTGAGTTCCTGTTGTTTTAGAGACAAATATGTTATTACCTCTGCACATCAGAATTCAGGTCAGTTTTTAAAACTTCTTCCTTAAAAACAAAAATAAAATATTTCCCAAAAGATAATTTCCCCATCCCATCTATTTCTTCAATCAGAAAGTGTAGTTTTTATCTTAAACTTTAGCCTGTCTCTAAATTTGATAGCTCTTACCTTTCAAAATGTAGAAGAATGTTCTCCCTCAAACCAAAGTATCAGCCTTTCTTCTTTCTTCTGAATTCATGCAAAATGTCAGTGCCCTTTCTCTCTCTCTCTCTCTCTCTCTCTCTGTGTGTCTCATATTGGAGTTTTTTTTATTTTAAAACACACAAACATAAGCAAACCTATCTCTATGTTATTTCTAGTGTATTTTTGTTAAAAATTATTTTTTTTGTACTGAGAATTGAACTCGGGTCCTTGTGCTTGCAAGTGGTAAAAATTCTTAAGGTATTTTTCCCTGTCAATTTTCTCTATGTCCATTTTGTAATATTTACAACACAGAGGGTGGTATTTACCAGGAGTGAAATTTGTTAACAAATGACAATAGTATTGTGTGAAATGTAGTTTAACCTTTTGAGTTAATGGCCTAGACAGGGTGTTATGAGTATCATAGAGAAATTAGACTAGGACTCCACAATGGAAGTAAAAGTATATTAGAAGTGCAGCAGTTTCCTTAGGGCTTCTCCTAGTCTTATATTGACCTGTTGTTACAATCAGTAACACATTACAATTCAGTAGAGTCAGGATGATGAGAAATTTTCCAGACATTTCAGGAATGAAGCTATGAGTTATCCTTCCAGGTAAAGAACTAAGACCACTGAGATGCTTCCTGGATGCACACAGTTAGATAGACTAATAGATGAAAATTCTTTGTTTTGTTTTTTTTCATTTACACACAATATTACATTGGTTGATTTGATGTCATTAATTAAATATTTTGAAATCTACTTTGAAATATAAGTAATGTCATGAGAAGTATAAGTGTCACTCAAAAGAAACTTTGTTTCTTATTCCAGGGAAGGAGTTATGTGTTCTCAGTTCTATGTACATAATGGTTCTGTTTTAAGGGGAATTATTAACCTTTTGCTATCTTTATTTAGAAGTTAATCATCGTTTAAAGAAAGGTGTCTGGTTGCGAAGGTGCCAAAGAAGGGAAAATGTTCATTAAATAAGATATAGCTCATGAAATACCAGGCAGATTATTAAATCTCATTTCAGGATATGCCTGTGAGGTGTTTCAGAAGGAACTGGAATGTACTCCTCCAAACTGAACAGATAAGAGCCACCCTGATTGCAAGAGGAATGCTCAGTAGGCTCACAGACTGCACAGAATGAAAGGGCAGAAATAGGAGGTCTCTCACAATGTAGGAAAGCTCCGGTTTCCCCAGCCACACAACTCAGTCTCAGCAGCAACAGTGCAGAGACCTCCAGGACGACTCTTGGACTGGCAGCGTTTCCTTACCCTGTCAAGTTCTGCAACCTGGGGCTTGTACACAGCATCTACTAGACACTCTGCTTTCCAGCAGCTGGACAGCCACTGTGGACACTCCTGTCTCTGTTTCCGTAAGCCAACCTAACACAACTCCATGCATAATTCAATATGTGTGTGCTGAATATATGTTCTATTGATCCTTATTGATCTTATTCCTCTAGAGAAATCTCATCAATGCAGATGTAATAATAATTTCGATTGACTAATTTATTCACTCCCAGAAATAAACCATAAAGAAATTAATCTGATTCTGCATACTTCCACAATGTGTCACAGATGCAGTTTTTCTACCTTTTTTTCAAAGGATTAATATACATTTTATTACAGTCAGGAAGAAAAAACATTTTGTGATCTACCCTGCCTAAATAATCTCCCTCATTCCTGTGCAACTTAACTTTTCTGTGTTCTCAAAGACTATCTTTATATGTTTGATACTTCGGTAAGTAGATCACATTATCAATGAATAAATTATTATTTAGAGATCCACTTTCCTCTTCCATATTAGTTTAAAATGATGAGGATGTTTTCCAGTTAATTATAATTGTAGGTGAAACATGACTAGAAAATTATATATTACACTTATACAGCAAGTAATGTTTCATAAATAAGGTAAAAATAGATGGTTTTGCCACAGAAAAGTTATTTTTTACCAGTTCTAATTAACAAATGTGTCAGAGGATGAAGGGTATGCTGGCTTGAATTGGAGATGGTATTTTCTCTGAAAAACTACCCTACTTCTCAACCTGAGAATGTACGCAAAAATTGAGCATTGTAGAACGGCAAGTGTAGTAGTGAGCCAAAGAGCTTACGGCTCTCTTGATTGTTACTGTATCTACATATTTCTCAGTTCAGAACAGCACAGATTTGTACTCTGACCTCTAAATGCTCTGATACCTCCAGACTGCCCCAACCCCACCCCAGAGACTCTTACATGTTTATTCAATAGAACAAATATAGAATTAATGTTTATCAGTTCTGGAGACCTCAGATGCCCTGATATATGGCTACAGCTTTCTGGTTTGTTAGGTAGTGCTTGTGCTAATTAATGTATTAAAATATGTTTTTACAATTAATGTTTATCAGTTCTGGAGACCTCAGATGCCCTGATATATTGGCTACAGCTTTCTGGTTTGTTAGGTAGTGCTTGTGCTAATTAATGTATTAAAATATGTTTTTTTTCTTTTCCCTTATTCCCTACTTCACACTGTCAGTTATACAAGAAGAGGAAAAAATGGAAATAAAATCTTTCTAAAGAGTGGAGGGGGTGAAGTGAGAACAAGGGTATGGGAAAAATGAGAACCAAAATCTGTCATGTAAAGGTACAAGGTCCCAATGATAATTGTAACTGTACTGTATACTTAAAAAGTACAAATAAATGCAATGAAGAAATATGTAAATTAACATCACTCAGCAGAATGCATTTACCCTATCCTATTTCCTTTTTGGTAACAATGATAAAACAAAGATGAATGCAAGAACGAATATATGATTTGATGGATGAAAGTACAACAGTATGAAAGGATGGGTTCATAAATGGGTAGATGGTGCTATCAATGGTTGAGTCAATGGAGTAACAGATATTTAGGATAGATACATATACAGTAAATTCTCAACTTATGAATGAGTTATGTTCTGGGGAAACATAATTTGGATTTGTTTGTAAATCTGACAAAGTGAATCTTGTACACCTTTGACGTAAATATGCAACATAAAGCATTAAAAAGCAAACACAGAAATACAAATTAATCAAAATCTATTTCTGATCAGTGTATCTTCCTGAATATAAGTAAGAAATAAAATATCAATTGATGTTATAAACTATGAGAGTGGTGATTTCAAGAATGAACATATAGGACTGGGAAGAGGGAAGATGATACCCAATGAAATGCATTCAATAATGTGTCAAAGGTTTGTGAACCAACAACTGAACTTGGACCAGGGACAGCCAGGCCTTCTCCACTGAAGAGCGCTTCCCACTGTAATCACCATGGATGCCAAAGGGACAGGTACATGTAAAACCTCAGTGAGTGGCTGGCTACATGTGTAGAGTGATGGGAAATTTTAGCTAATAGCAAGAGTTACAGGATGATAGATTTTAGAAGAACTGTATAAATTTTTCTTTAGAAATTAATTCTTCAGAAAAGTATAGCATCATTCATTGGTTCTCAAATGATGAAGTCTTCCTTGTTCTGGACATTTGGCAATGGTTGGAGTCCTTTTGCATTGTCTTGATTTAGGAGCAGGTGTAACAGTAAGGGTCCTACTGTGGTCTAGAGGACAGGTGCTGCTAAGCTTTCTTTGTCACATAGAACAGATGCCAGAACAAAGAACTGTTTGGCTCAAAAAGCCAGTGATATTAGACTGGGCGATCACACGACCAGAAGAGTCGATCCATCCACTACTTATACTTCCAGAAGACAGAAAGTAACATTTTCTGTTTCTCAGGTCTATTATATAAATTGGACAAATTGAGTAAACCTAATGAAATTTTCAGTCCTGAAGCTGCAATGCAGAAAATTATGGCAAATATTTTTGGTTCAAGCCAAACATCTTTTCAAAAGGGAAATCAAGTTTGTCCTTACTAATTTAATTATAGGAGATGTGTTTATGTATTACTCATAAATATATCTTTAATATTCACAGAGTTTTACCTGAGAGATTTCCAAATGTGTTTATCAAGAGTTATGTAGAACTTATTCTTCTGATTGTTACATTTTTATATCAGAGTATCTTTTGAAATATTGTGTCAGAATCTAAAAGGTAATTTTAAGTAGATACATGTTGCTCCATTTTGCAAATGTAAATTATTGACAGACTAGAAGTCCATGTTTTCATCTACTGAAATAGTAAACTGACATAACCACCTTTGAGTATGATCAAAGATTTTAAAGTGAGTGTTATAGAGAACAGAGAAAGTGAATAAAATCAAGTTTTAAGGGCCTCTGTCATACAACAACGAAAGACAGAGTTGTTCTTCTCAGTGACCATCAGCAGCTCTGCATACAATGTGCCCCATGGCCGCTGCTGTGGTCCTTGCTGGGCAGATGCTGCTGAGAGCCCACAGGTGAGCAAAGGAGGGAGGAGGTAAAGGGCAAGGACCACAGCATCAGTATTCTGCTCCCACACTGTAATAACAGGACTTGGAGAATCTCATTTAACCTCTCCAAGGTTTCCCTTTCATCAATATAATTTGATGATAAGTATGAGGACTCAGCCTATCTCTCAGGGTTACTTTAAAGCTCAAATTTAGAAAAATATTTAAATTTAAGAAAAGTGGCAAGAAAATACATAGAATAATAATGGTGAGTTAGCACATCCAGACCATTTTTTAATTGTTAAGAATCTCCTCATACTCAGAACTACTAAGCATATATTTAGTTTTTCTAACATGAAGCATTTCAACCAATAAATGTGATGTCGCTGTCATATCAGCATCCAAAATGCAAATATTGTGTAGTAAATTAAAACATTTCAAACTCCTGGAAAGTCTGACTGCTGAAAATTAACAGAAATTGCCAAGACATTAAATTATATTAAGAGAATGATTTTATCTCTCCAGATTAGAATTAACCTAAGTTCCAAATGTTTGCAAAGTACAGAAGCACTTTTGGGAGCAATACCAAAACACAGAAATCACCCACATTGAAAGGAATGTGTCTAAGGCAATTGTGTGCCTGCATATGCACAGTGTTTCATGTTGAGTCTTTCCCTATCACAGCTATGACAGCACCAAATCAGGCATTGGAGGGTAGCTGCAAGAGAGAGGCTTTCAGAGTCGGACTGCTTTGGATGACTCTGAAAACAGAGGTTATTTCAGAGACTCTTGTGTTTTCATTTAACCAGGGACTCTTTTACTGTTGCTGGTTACTTCCAGCTTGCTCTTGTGTAAGGGTGTGGCCTCCACGCCCACCTGTCCCTTGAGCTCTGGCTGCCAGGAACCCCTGTCAGCGCTCTTTGACCGTGCGATCCACCTGTCTACTTCCTTGCACAGTCTCTCTTCAGAACTGTTGGAGAAATTTGTAAGTACCTAACTTTTTTCACTTCCCAAAGGGAACTTACACAATAATTGTTGGTAAACAGTACAATATACACATGAAAACCTCATTAGTAAAGTTCAAATAATATAAATTAATAGATTAGAGTAGTCATTAGCCAATAAAAATCAAAAAGGGAGAAAAAAGTTTCATGAAGTACACAAGTCAGAGAATATGCTTCTTAATTTTTTTCTTGTTTTATTTTATTTTAAAAGGTGAATCAAAAAGCAATTAATTAGTTAGAATTTTCTAAAAACTTTGTTTTACAACTCCTCACTATAAATTTTCATTTTGTATTTTGTCTTTTTGATGAATTGGTAAGGTAGAGACATGTGGATTAAGAAGTAATTGAAAGAAAGTTATAATCCATAATATCTATTTGAGGAAATTATGTCATTTGAACCCTCAAGAAACAAGAGATTAAATAAGTAAATATAGGTACATATGTATCATGGCATTTGATTGAAATACTAGAGAAAAGTGATACTTAACACACTTACAGTTTTGTACTCCTGTTTTTTTCTGCTTTTGATACAAATCAACTTACAGGAAGGGTGAGAAAACAATGACATAGCAAAAGGAAGAGTTTGAGAGGTCAGAAAAGTTAGTTGAAAATCTTTGAGATCACAGCACTAAAAATAGGCTAACTTTTTTAAATCTTTAGTTTCAGTTTCTATATAGCTCTTTTAGTGTATTATGTAATTCATTAAATGTATTCATATTGTGCTAATAGATTCAAGCTTTTTCAATTGCTGAAACACAATTATTAATTCAATGTTCTTCATTGTTTCTAGGAAATCAAGTTTTCCAAGGGCCCAAAATATTTTATTCCTGATATCAATGGGTGCCACACAGATGCCATAACCATTCCAGGCATTCATGAGGAGGTGACAGAGATTCGTGTGAGTACTCACCCAGCGCCACGGGGAAAGCATGGACGGGCTCTGGCTTTCTGTGCGGCTTGTTCCCAGACACAATGTGCTTGTGATTGGTGCTAACAGTAGTCATAGGTATGGAGAAAAGACAAGACAAGTAAGCAATAAAAGTAAATTACACTGTATAGTTGCAAAGCTATACATAAAATAAAATGCTATATAAGGAATAAACTAGATCCACACATTGTAAATAAAGATGATATGGCATTTTAATCAATACTTTGTATGTAGAATTTTATATTTTATACTGTCGAGGAGGTTAAATGAATTGGAGATACATTTATAATACATAGATATATCGATAGTCATAGTAAACTAATTCTTTGTCATTCCTCTGTTTATTTAAATTTTCTATGATGACAGATGTAAAAAAAAAAAATACAATTTAAGCCATTGGCCTAAATGAATACATAGATAAATGAGAGATAGATAACCAGATGAAGATTTATAACAGGTTACTTGTGACTTCTGCACTGGCAATTTTTACCGTTAGTGACTGCCTAATCTGAGCCTTCTCTCCTGGTCTTTCCACACTCTCCTGCTTCTGCAATGTGGATTTCCTCACTCACCATCCTGCCTTCTCCTCTGTCTATGTTATCTCACTGTGTGTGTGTTGTATTATGTTTCTGATGGAAACAGAGTCTACACATCAAGCCCTAATCATTACCACTCTTTTTTATGATCTCTTTCATCTGATTCCAAGCCTTAAATGCAGCCTTAACCTGAGTTTATATAAAGGAATGGAATTTCAAAGAGAAAAGAAAATTGAATGTTGCAGATTAGAAACCTTATTAGAAAAAGTATTTAAATGAGCCAATTTTGTGTGTTTGTTTTCTTGTAGCACAGTTTAGGCCAATGGCTTAAATTGTATTTTTTACATCATTATATATAGAAAAAATATATAAACAGAGTAATAACAAGGCATTATTTTACTTCAGGCTCTCCGAAAAGTCCCAGGTAGCTAAACTGGCTTTATTTTATATACTTTAACATTTCGCTTTGTCCTGGCTGATTAGTATAAAGACTTTATCATCCTGGCAAGCTGCTTTATGCGCTCCTGGAAAGAGCCTATGGAGCTCTTCATCACCGGAGTAAAGCAACTGCCGAACGTCCAAAGTGACATTTTATCCAAAGCTGTGGCAATTAAAGATCAAAACCACGAACTTCTAGACGTCTTGGAGAAGATAGCCAGCCAGGTGAGCAGCATCCTAGTGCTTCTTTGATTTTTTTATTAAAGAGCCTCTTCTCTGTTTAAAATGTGTCTCAGTCCTTGATATTGTAAGAATAACTTTCAGGCTGGATGTTCCAGCTTCTAATTGCCTTAAAGCAAGGCAGGACTCATAGACATCCACGGAGGATTCTAATATGCTGACAGGTGGTGGTGGGTACTTACACATTTTCATGGTGGAAAAAGCCAGAGAAAGCAACCACACAGAAACATTTGTTATCAAAATATGTTGGGCTTCCCACTTTGAAGTTCCCACCAGAGTCTTTCTCTTTTACTCTCACACCAGAGGATCAAAATGAGAATGGAAACAAGAAAAACAACTAAATCATTGTATATGCTTGTTCCACCCCACCCTACCCAGATAGACTAGGAAGGCCCTGGCATCAACACCATTTTCCAGTCACTATAAAGTGTCAAAAGGAAGGCTAAAATTTTTCTGAAAAGTTTCTTGTTTCAAAATTTGTAGAAAGTTTTTCTAAATAAATTTCTTTAACGTTCCTAAATTAAAACATAATATTGCATTTAAACTCCTCACTTTCTCATACATAAATTGAATTATTATTTTCAATATGTATCTCCTTTCAAATAGGACAATTTCAATTTAGCTGGTGAGATACCAGCTAAACAGCTTTCTGAAGTTCTCAGAAATAATATGTCACCTAAAGAAATCAATAACAGAAGGAACAATATACTTCTCACGTCCTATTATGTACATGTTGTCACATGTAATTATTAATATTTTCATGGGATATGACCATCAAAAATATGTAGAACTTATTACAATGCAAAAAACATTTTAACCCAGGAGCATAGAAAGTGAACACCCTAATTTTTAAATTATTTTCCTCAATACAGTGAACCAAATTTCGGAGGTCTTGAATTTGTTCTGAAATGCTTCATTAACTTTTGTATCACTCAATTGTTTATTCCTATTTTTATCATATTACTTTTCACAGAAAAGTTGGTTTTAGGAAATAAGCAAGAAAAGTAAATATATACCAGAAAGGAAGGTAAACACATACGCGCATGTGCCCTTTAAATTTCACAAAAAATATTCTTACACTGTATGAGAAAGTTCAGCAGTTCATAGTCTACAATTATCCTGTAATTATAGCTACAAAAGACAGAAGTCAGTTGGGTTTTTTCAGAGGCATTAGGTTTGTCACTGGGTCTCTGAGGTTTCTGTGGCCTCCAGCTTGTCTCCAGAGAGCAGAAGGATCCTCTACTTTCTGACTTGCACTGTCCAGCACTTATAAAGCACTGACCCAGCAAATGTAGTGTTCTACTGCCAGCATCTGCCTTCTCACTGGTGCTGTTTTCAGCAGCTTCAAACCCAGGGAACTCAAAATAAAGCAGCTCGTCCTCATGGAAAACTGGAAGATGTTAATCCTGGGTGGAGCAAGAGACTCCTGACTGCCATTCAGTCCTGACTTGAGTGTCTGCACATGAAAGAACCAAGTGCCGACCTCACTATCTCTGAGAATTTTGTGCAGATACACTATGAACAATAGATTCAATGCAGGGAAACAGCAATAAAAAATGAAGAACTATCACAGCAAGTAAAATACAAAGGGATCATCTGTGACAAGCTGCAGGAAATGTAAAATTTGCTTTAGTGATAGAATGGAAGGATCCTCTCCACTGACCCTTGGTCAAATCCATGTTGACTCTTAGGTAGCAAGTTCTTGGATGTCCACCTGTCTACTCCTGCAGGAACATCCTTCTCCTGTGATTACTTGGAGATAGGCAAAATAATACATGCATGCTGCTTCTAGCTTTTAGATGACTAATAGATTTATTTTGGAAAGGACACATGAATACTCATGACTTTGCCTAGATATTTACTTTTCCACCTCTTGTAAAATTTTTAATTGAAAAATGGATAGGAATATAGATAAAAGAATAATGGCAATATGAGACATAAGTGATTGCTTCTTTTGTGACTAGGTTAATCCTGAAATCAAAGACAATGGGATGTATGTTGTCTGGATTGAACCTGAACATGATATGCCAGTTTCTTCAGTACCTCGTATGAGAAGTTTTTATAACCGCATCCGCTGCCTGCGCAGGGATACAAATAAGCTTGACCGTTTTTTCAAGTATCTGAAATGCAACATCATTGAAAGTGCTAAGTGCTAATGCCGTATCCATGAGGCGGTGGTTAAGGATCTATGCGTGGAAACCTGCTTTAATTTTAAGGCTTTCTAATGCATGCTTACACAAAATATCTCTTTTTAAAAAATAAAAACTAGCTATGCCAAAATATTAACAATTTGTCAAAGTTTCTTTGCTTAAATTTGATAGAAAACCCAACAAAAATTTATCACCACCCTTGAGAACTGGGACCAGTACACATCACAGAAAACAGAAAACAGCCATGAATAAAACAATCAACAACTTATTTCAGAGTGACAGTGACTTAATGTGGTTACATTATGAGTCAGAGTTAGATTTCTGTTAATGATTCCAATAATGGTGTAAAGCTTAAGGAATTCTCAGAACTATTCTGCATTCCAGCCATGATGTGTGAGCTAAACTTCACAATCCTAAACAAAAACATAAGTTCTGTTGTGTTTCACCTCAAAATAGCACAAGATTTACTGAACAGTCCAAAAGTTGTTAGACCACAAGCATGACACAATCAAGATATCTCCAGCATCTTCCCTGCATAATACTGATGCACCTGAGAATGAGACACCACACTTCCCTTCTTTCAGGCACAATAAGTAATTATCTCTATCAGCAGTTACTCAGAGCATCAGCCTTAATCACTTTCCCACTAAAGGCCTGGAGACTATCAGTATCCCCTGAAATGCCTAGTCTTTCTCCTCCTGAGTTTGGAACAAGGTCACTGGATGAGTGTTGCTGAACTTGCTCTTGAGTTCCCCAAGACAAATTCTCACCCACAGCTAGCTCTCCTTAGAAGGCAGAGAGCTTGCTTGTCATCAGTGTTGGAGTTTTCCAAATGATCCAGAAAATGCAGAGGTAGAGGGAGAGAAGGAAGAAATGAAGGAAAGACATAATGAAAAATGAGTAAAAGGTGGGTTGTAAGGAACAGGGTGCTATTAGAAAGCTACACCGATAGAAAGCCTAACTCTGCCTTATTCCTTATGCCCTAAATGCAAATATCATCTCATGTTTTCCTTTCTCCTCACTTTTTCTTCTTTTGTTCTTTCTTTCCTGAGACTTTTATTTGTATTAGAAATAGTTTCCCTTTATTAGATAAGTTTCCATTGCTCTAAATACAAGCAATATTTGGCACCTCTGCACATCATAACTCAAGGCAAATTTTAAAAACTTCTTAATCAAACTAAAAGAAAAAGGTAATAGTACCCATAGTTGTAGTAAAAGTTTTCCAGCAAAGCCAATCTCTTCTATCATACATAGGATTGTTATTGTCTTAATCTTGCCTCTGCCTTTAACTTTATGACCTAAGTTCTTCACAATCCATCAGAATCCCCTGTCCCACACCAAGTTCTCACCATTCTTCCTCACATTGAATGTAAGAAAAATATCTGCTCTCTCTTCTATTGCAATGTTTTTCCCTTAAAATGTAGAGATGTTTAAGTAAAACTATATATACATTATTTCATTATTTGTTTTAAAATTTAATACCATTATATTTCACACTTAATACCCTCCTTGTCACTTTCTAGATATTTAAAAGAGAAGGTCTGTATCTGCGGTGAAATATAGCAATAAATGTCAGTGAACTAATATGAAATAGACATTCACTTTGACCACTTGCTATAGTGTGCACTCTGCTCTTATAATGTGATAATTACAAAGACAAATTTAAGACATGTAGCAAACTAACATGAGGTGCTTTTATAAAGGCCTCTGCTTGACAGTGACATAAAAACTGAATATTGTATTTTTCAGAAAAGATTGACTAGAGCAACAGATGTTCTGTAGAGTAAACAAGGGTACAGGCAAGATGATATTTCATAAGAATGTGTATTCACTCTCTTTGCAACTAGAATGACTGTATGTTTTATCCTCTTGTGCATTTTTATGTATGTTTACTTTGGAATGAATTGCCCTACTAAACCAAGAATGACATTAGTGGTGTCAAAGGATAATCAAACACACTCTAGAAATTCAATGATCTCATAAATAGTAAATTGTATGCCACGGGTAAAGGACTAAAAGAAAGGTAAGAAAAGTGTGTTTTCCAGGAGTCTCCTATGTAGTTCTAAAAAAGACAGTTCACATAAATATTTAAATTATTATGCTTTAGAGCCAACCCCATCCCCTTTTCCTAGTGTGGGGAGATGTAACCTTGGCGCCTCAACTTAGGAAAAGCAAGACATGGAGAGCACCCTAGATAAAGAACATGCAGTCCCCTATTCAAAGTCAGGTCTGGAACCCTAGTAGCTACCCTGTTGCCCATCCATAATAATCTTGGAGGGGACTATGCCCAAGTCCCATTCACCTATGTGGAACTGGGAGAAATTAAACATTACTTGTGAAACTATACCCAGATGCATTCATACAGGCTTTTAAGAGAGTCGTGCCTCTTTCAATTTACCTGTTCCTCTTCCATGAGACTCTGAATTTGGGAGAGAGAGCTGCAGTGAGAACAGGAAATGCCTATCATTAGATCCATAAAAACATGCAAAAAACATGACAGGTAAGGGCAAGAAGGACCCATATGCTCCTATAGGGGAGGAGGCCTGTCTGTCCTCCAAACCCTACTGGAATTATCCAACTCTCCTTGGGAAAGGAGCCCATTTACATCTACTTAACTGAATTAAAGAAGGGCTGAAGGCAGCAAAAGTTCAGCCAGTGAGTTTTCCAAACTGTCACATATTTATCAAGAATAAAAAGAACCCCCATCTCTAATTTTAGAGAGGCTCAAGGACACTATGATGAAACATACCCTCATAGTCCTTCGTGGCCTCAACCAAGAAGTCCTTCTTAAGGACAGATTTATCACCCAGCCCACCCCTGATGTTGCCACGAGGTCTTGAAATCTTGTACCCTATCCTGACAAATACTATTTAGGGCTGGATGACTTTTCTTCAGGAGGCTACAAATGTCTTTTAAAACAGGGACAAAGAAACTCAACAGGAGAAAAGAAGCATCAAGAACTCATTGCTGCCCTCTAAGTCTCTCTAAATAACAAGGCAAAACTTTGCTTCCATTGAAAAAAGGTGAAGCATCTTAAAAAGGATTGCCCCCAACAGGAGGAGACCAATGAGAGGGGACACAACTTAAACCTCCCAATCCCAGCCCCATACTCCAGGAAGGCAAAGGCTGCTGCTTCTAGATAGCTGGAGTGCTTCCTCTTTGGCTGGCAATTATACTGCCTATTAGCTTGCCTGTTTATTTTGATAAGGAAATTTTACATACCAAGGGCCAGGGATGGCCCCTGACTTCTGAGTGATGACAGGCCATCCCCAAGGACTGCCTCTTTCTGTCAAGAAGCCTGACATTAAAAAGTATTTAAGAGCGTCCATGATACTTAATCATTTATGACAGAAAAATCCCCCTATTTTAGTCACCAAGTCCTTCCTGGGAGAAGGACTGGATACAGTAACACAAGAGGTGGTTAAGGCAGGAAAAGCATCTAAGGACCAATCCTCAAAATGCCCAATTACAAAAGCTCAAGACAATCATCCAGAGGAAGACTTGCAAATTGATTTCATTCACATGGCACCTGGCAAATACAGCCATTTCCTCATAATCCTGCTTGACTCTCACATGGGAAGCCTTTTCCACCCTAACTGAAAAGGCCTTAGAGATGGTCATGATCCTTGATCATATTTCAAGATTTGAAGTGCCTTGGAACCTCCAAACTGATAATGGCACCACTTCCTCTCTAAGGTCATTCAAGGGCTTTCCTAGTCCCTCAATATCAATGTGCTGTGTGTGGTGCCCACAGTCATCAGGACAGGTAAAACAGGATCATGGGCTACTGAAGACATTTGCTCAAATGGAACATAAGGCTCCATGGAAACAGCTCCTACCTGCGGCCCTTGTAAGGTCCTGAAACATGCCCAGTTTTCAGCAGTTATCTCCCTTTGAACTTCTGTATGGGAAGCCTTTCCTCAGAAACAACATCCTAGTAGATGAGCAAACAGAGGGAGCCTTAGGACAAGTAAGGTCCTTAGCCCAGTTTCAATGCTAAGGAAGGAAATGGCAAGTGACACACAGAGAGGCAGCAGAAGGGGAGTAAAATAAAAGTTATTTCACATTGTGACATTTTGTAGTTTTTTTTTCTTTTTTTGGCTATTAAAGTTTTCTCTATCACCAACACTTCCTATCAGCCCCAAGGCAAAGAGACCCTGGATCCACTCCATCCAGTGAGCCTCTCTTCTTCCCTGGGACCCTGGTGCTAGTAAAGTCTCTAGACACATAGGACATAAGCAAACCCCTGTAGGATGGTCCCTAAATGATGATCCTTTCCACCCCCACTATAGCTAAAGTGACAGGACATGACTCCTGGACTCATCACTCCTGAGTAAAGCTGTGGACTGCTCCCAAGAGCTGCAGAGATGAGGCATGTCTGGACCATCCCAAGGCCACATTCAAGTGCACCTACACCTGTGAACCTGCTCAGGACCTCAAGTTCCTCTTCAAATGACAGAAACAAGATAAGTGATGCTAAAACTGTTTACTATGGGTATAAATGATGTCCATTTCCTTGTCCATATTGGAAACTTTCCTAGACATCTTGTCTCAAAAGATTCAATTATATTCTATAGCTACTATCCAGGAACTCATTGTCCTGTGTTCAATCCCAGTTTCATGGCCCTTTTTCTGACTTAAACTCAACAGAAATAGAATTATTTCTCCTCTGCACTACTGGAGGAACAACTGACAGAGGACAGTGACCATGACTAGTAGTGACTACTACTACTATGTCTTGTTACACTACAATTTCTTTGTTCTGCAGTTCTCTTGTGGCTTCAATTTAATCATCTTCTTGCTCAATAATAGGATCACTTCTAATTTTCACATTTGCCCTAGTTTTTATCTGCCCTCTATCCATTAGAAGTGTGATAAGAATACTCACCAGGGCCAATAGTTTGGTATAACAACTCATTTATCTGAATGGCAAGGCCCCTGACCTCAAAATCCTAACTCTTGACTCTATTCTGAAAGCCCCCAGAGGATCAGCTCCTCATCCATTA